TCACTCGCTGTGTAGTGGTACGAGAGGCGAATGGATCGTCTCGTCTCGTTTTCGTCTCCGTCTCGTCTCCGGAATGGGCTCCCGAGAGATGTGGTGCCGTAGAGATATATACGCAATGTCCTCGTTTAGCAGCGACGCCTCGTCATTCTTTCCTATATAGGCAGGATGTTCACTCCCGATCAGTGCGGTTTTTTTTTTATAAAAGATTGGGCTTTCTTTGTTCTCGATTTCAGTTGCGTGCACTGTCGGGGGACAGAAATCTTACGCTCGGGCCTTGATTCGGATGTCCGTTTAAGTAAGCGAAGTGGCAAGGGAGTGGTGACGTGCTGGAGACTTTTGCCAATAGTTGTGAACAATAGCGGGATCTTCAAGGGGTTCGCCGTAAGTGCAGTAAACGTACTGAGAAACCTGTTGAAGCTCGCGCAGAAAGAAAAGAAAAACAAGATTGAGATAGTAAGGATTACAGATCGCAATAGATTACTTTACACCTGATCATAACGAACAAAACGGTTGGCCACTCGGTGATGCCTCGTTTCAAAAGGGATGTCGAAAGGGGTCGCCACCACCATAACCATCGCTATTCCCATTACGCATTCTGTAATCTCGTATTCCTTGAATAGGAACGCTGTTTAAATTACATGACAGAGCTCCTGTCAAAAATGCACGTTCGAAGCGGGGTCTCCCCTGCATCTCCTCTGGTCCTAAATAACGTTTAACTCAACAACAACAACAACAACAACAACAACAACAACAACAACAACAACAACAACAACACAACAACAACAACAACAACAACAACAACAACAACAACAACAACAACAACAGGCAAACTGGTGGCCGTTTCCTTGGCTCCCGAAAAAATCCCCTAAACAGGGGAATTATCTGCTCGAGCCACAAGCCGTGTTTACAGATTTTTTGCATCGCAAAAAGCTTCCACCTTCTCCTTCCCGTCGTTTTTTGCATGACCCATAAAGCCACATAGCGACTTCGCGATGTCGTGGGTTATATAAAGAAGGTGAACAAGCGAGGGAAGTGCCCCGAATAATTTATTCTCCGAAAAGGGGCGAAAGCTGGATTGGTATTGCGGATGCCCTGTAACAATGCACGGTTTCGGGCTTCTCAGCAGATAGTATTTCGTGGTTGAGGTAAGCACGGTCTTATGAGTTTTGTTTAGTTATCTCTGTCGCTCATATCTACTCGAATGTTTGGAGAGCTTTGCAATGCCACACTCTAAGCATTTCTTCATTTATATGTGGAGCCGTCATGCAGTCTAATTTCCTGCTGGACTTACGGTGGACACGTTAAAAAAAAAAGATCTTTCACTGTTTCTTGGAACACCTCTAACAATGGACGGATTGAGCTTTGGTTATGGTTAAGCAAGTGTAAGCACCACGGAACAGTATTTAATAACGCTTCTGAAAGGGCAGCTATGAATGTCGTCCGGCCTGTAGTACATCTTGGAGCCGCGCTGAGAATCGCTCCATTACACAAAGCGCCACTTCTTTTTTTCTCTTTTTTTTAACTTGTTTTCGCAATGTGAGCATGGAAGTACGGCCAAGCCGGTTTCACTTATAAACCAACGGAAATAAAAAAAAAAGCCGCTCAGATAATGTTTTTTTTTTTTGTAAAGCAAAAAACCATCCTCTCAAAGATAACGGGTTATTGTGCGGCCGCACGCTACAGCCGTCGCGTTCTACGCCTTTGCGGCGCATTCGTTATTCTTCTTGATGTTACTGTTGGTCGTACTGCATCGCCATAAATGTTACTGTGTTAGTGAGCTCTTCGACGCTATCGTGTGAGAACAGGAGCCAACGACATCTTTTATATCTCGTATTTGTTCTCGCAATAGAACAAGGTTATTTGAATCAAAAAGTGGTTAGAGCATCCGGCCTCGATAGAAACAGAATAAAAGATCGAAAGCTGTTGATAAAACATTACGAGTGAGAAAGTATAACGTTAAAGGCTAACTTCCTTTGTTAGGTACAATAATGATGAGAACTAACGGACAATAATGTCGGGCAAAGAATATGGAATGTTATTAGAAGTAATTGTAGTTTAATATCGAAGAAAGAAAAGTGGATGAAAAGATAACTTGCCGTGGGTCCCTGCCCACGGCAACCATTTTTGAAAGCTTTAGAACTCTGCTGTCGATATGAGAGAACTGGTCTCTCAAATCGTTCGAATGTCTTACGGCATGTTTTGTCGCTTCAAAGACGTGCTCGTGCGTGCTTAAGCCGTCACGTATAGAAAGCTTCTGTTTAGTTGTGTTTAACGTGCCCCTCTTACGTTCTTCATAGGCGGTTAGCACTGACGAAAGCGACGCGCGATTACGCATGTATAAGACGTTATTTGCTGTCTGTCACACGCATGACATCGCTATTGATGAATTGACGTCATACAGGCAGCTAACGATGCTACATGACGTCACACGGGCAGGCAAAGAATTGCTATACACTCATTTAAAAGTTTAGCTTTTACTGCAAATTTCCAAGTCTAAAGACACTTTAGGTCTGAGACACACGCACTCTTGTATATAGACACGTCGAGTACAGTCTGTATACCACGCATCCACGAACGATTTCTAAATATAGAACATTTCAGGACATACGAACACACACTTTTGTATGCGAGTGAAGGCTAAGTGTTTACCATGCACACCCACGAACGTCTTCCCGTGGCGTCTCTACTAAACCTAGTTGGCGCTCTGTATAGTGCGGGGCAAGTGCGGCCCATAGAGCGAGTACTGCCGCAAGACCATATCGCCGAGGCTATTTGGGACGGAAGAGAGCAGGAGTTTGTGCGTGTTTATTCGTGCCCCTTCGCTGATGACGCGCTAATTAGCGAGGACATTTTCACGCGTGCCGACAGCGCAGTATACCGCGCTAACGATAAGTGTAGGAATACGAAGTCGTTTGCGCGCGGACGACGCGATATGGAAGTCCACCGGAAGAGGGCGAACGCGTCTCTACGCGCTCCTCCGCAGTAATTGCGAGCAGTGGAGCGATCGTGTATGGACCTCGTCATCAGCCCGACCAGGAGTCGTCAAGTAGTGCGTGCTTCCGAGTCGCCGTCGAGTTCCGCTGACACTCTGAGTGTGTGAACGGTGCTGTAGTCAGGGGCACTTAACGGGAAGTTATTTAAGCTTATATAAACGAGTTGTTTTTACTGTGGCGTGGGAAACCACCGCGTAAGCACTTCTCGTTCTCGGGCGCCTTAATTTTATCCTATTTGCACTTTGGCAAGCATAGAAGGAATAGAAAAAATAAAGATGGCTTGTTCAATGTTCACCTTCATGAAGCTCCTTTGCACCGATTGACAAGAATCTTCGCACAGCAATTAGTAGCGTACAGCGGGTGAACCCTCCTCAATGGTTCGCGACAGGCATGCCCTCTCCTATTACTGATTACTCGCCCTATCCCGGTACGTGCTGCACAGATTTCTTGAGGGCGCGATGTGGGTTGTGGGGATGGGGCAGTCAGAATAAGCTTGCTCCGAGAAATATTCAAAGAGTACTTGAGTTTGAAAGGGGCAAACTTTGAGAAAGTCTTTTTTTTTTCAGCGACATGTTGGACAGTGATGTGTACCAGATAAGGGTGCTGTGTTTGAGTACTACCACGTGACTGAGTGTGCGGAATCGGTGAACGTACTTGTGCTTTCTTTTCGAGGGACACGTGCTATCATCTGCGTATTTGCGTGGCGTGCTCAACTAACTTCAAGCTCGAATTCAACCGTCATAACCGATTGACCGTCGTGCCTGGATTGACGAAATGCGGGATGTTTTCAAACGTCTAAGTGAGTTTCCCTGTCGAAAACAGAGCTCATGGAAAGCGCGTTGGTTTACGTGTAGAAAACCTGAAGGTGGCGTGACGCAACACGATGTTAGTAAGACCTACTAAACAGCCTGAAGCTCCTTCAGAAACTTTCTGGAGGGATGAACTTAAGGCATTGTTTACATGGCGTATTAATAATAATTCTTGCCGTTTGACGTAACTAATGATGATGACAGACGCCGCATTGGAGGGCTTCGAAAATTTCCAACGCACGGTGCTCTTCACCTTACACTGAAATCTGAGCACACGGGCTTAACGCATTTTCACCGCGTGTGTGACATGTTTCCCCGCGTTTAGTACATGCGACAGTGTGGCATAGATCCAATTATTCCACAAGAAGAGAGTGCTCATCTGCGAGGTTAACAGTCTAACACTCTGGCTATTTTAGCCACACCACTTGTCACAGGGATCGCGACTCCCCCCCCCCCCCCACAACAACAACAACAACGAACAAACAAACTAACCAAGAACCCAACAAAACAATAACAGGAACTTCTAGTTTGCTACACGGATGATGCTGAAGCAGCGTGGTTCTCCTATAATATCTCGTGTAACAGTCTTCATCATTCTTAGTCTTATTCGGGCAAAAAGATTCGGCTTCTTTGACGGTGCGCTGGTGCATGCAGTACGACGTGTTTGAGCGTGTCCGGCCTTACGGCATGCTCGAGTGCATTAGGGGTATATTGGTCTATCGAGAGATAGTAGGGAAATATTGAGATGCTTCGTCTAAACTCTGTTGAAACATGTTTTCTTCATTCTCGGCGAGTGTACATGCCGAAGAAAAGATTTTTGATGATCAACATGTCCGCTACCAGGAACACACGAGCTTCAAAGTAATATACAAGTTGTTACAGCTACAATACTCTTGTTTGTTCACGTGAAAGTGTTTAATGTAGGACTTTCATTAGGTTTGACGAACGTCAGTTCCGTCAAGGAAGCGACTTTCCTTTGAGTCTTCCGCCACCAGATGGCGTAAACATTCGCATTGGTTACAACACTTGCCGAGGCTCCAGCATTCTCCAATAATGCCGAGTGTTAAAATGAAGAACAGAAGGCTTATGACTACTCAAGTTGAGAACAAATGATAATGACGTTTACTTATAGTCAAAATCAAGGTGATTTGTATTGAGTGTCTGGCATGAGTTCTGAGATCTGTGCTCTTACTTACAGGTGCACCAAAGAGTCTGCCTGCTTTTTCGCAGCGGGGATCACCACACGACCAGAACGTGACGGGTAAGATGCTTCGTATATTGAAAAAAAGAAACATACAGACAGACTCTATATATATATATATATATATATATATATATATATATATATATATATCCCAACAGTTTCGGGAGGGGTCCTCCCTTCATCAGGGGATGAGTTATACTCATCCCCATGATGTACCATATCCCATACCTTCACGAAGACTAACTGGCCCATTGAATTATTACTCCCACTATATATATATATATATATATATATATATATATATATATATATATATATATATATATATATATATATATATATAAGGGACAGAAGTGTATACCTAAGGGCTCGTTTTTCCGTGTTTTGACACAATATGATGTTAGTAAGACCTACTAAATGTGGGTTGGGGGAAGGCCGCTGTGATAGCTCAGTGGTTAGAGCATCGAACGCGTTATTCGAAGGTCGTAGGTTCGATTCCTGCTCACGGCTGGTTATTTTTGCACCCACTTTTCTTTCTTTCATTTACATTACATTTTGTTCTAATAACTTCCCCTATACATTCCTTGGCATTAGTGTCTGTTAGATCTCATATATATATATATATATTTATGCGCTTGAACAAGCAGAAGATAGTGGGCAAGATACGCTGTTTGAAGTAGTTAAAGTGCTACCTTCAGGTAGCTAAAGGTGGCATATATGCAGTAATTTAAAGGCTGCTCTTTCCGGCAGAATCCAAGCTATTGTGTCCTGTTGGAACTGGTACGTCTACGTGGCCTTTTCGAAGAGTCTTTCACACCCCCGCGCCGCGCGTCTGTGGTCTAGTGGCCAGATACTCGGCTGCATTTGCTATGGTGGCGGAAATGCTGTAGGCCCGCGTGCACAGATTTGGGTGCACGTTAAAGAACCCTAGGTGGTCGAAATTTCCGGAGCCCTCCACTACGACGTCTCTCATAATTATATGGTGGTTTTGGGACGTTAAAGCCACATATCAATCAATCAATCAATCAATCAATCAATCACACCACCGCGCTCTGCTTAGCTTTTATCTCGTATTCACTGTATCCTGCACGTCCAGTTGATCGAGGTGGACTCGGTCGGCCCTGTATATCTTAAAAGCGTCAGTGATAGAAATAGGTGACATGGTCGAACATACGCGGATTTAGTAAAGTCGCTGGAATCATTCCGACTACAGTGACCGTGATAAAGGCATTCTGGCTTCGCGGGTATTTCTGTTTGAAATTCGGGACATTTCTTAGTCGCACGATGTCACGCTTCGGCGTCGGCGCAGTCCACACCCCCACTGCACATGCTCGTCTCGTCTCATGCCTCGTATCGTCTCCCTTGAATGCGGGCGATGTGTATATCATTGGCAGAGCGCGCGTTCGGAATTCAGCCAATTATTAGGCGCCTTCGCAGGCCTCTCCCTTGCACTCCTCTCCCTCGAACGTGGGTGGTGTCGCGTTTGAAGTTCAGTCAATGGCGCCCCCTCTCCATCCTGTACAACGACGTACGGCACCAAGCATTAAAGACACACTTAAACCTTACGCTCCTTGCCTCCGCTTCTCCTTCAATCAATACTAAGAACAATTAAGCATTCCCAAACCACACTCAATTACTCAACAATCACTCGATACCCCCATTATTCTGCGACGCATTTACTCGAGTTCTTCCACGTGGGAAGATGCGGGCGCCAATTTTTCTATTTTTTCTGAGTTGGCCTCTCTTAACCACGCTTACTCACAGAAACAATACGGACTTGGCAGCTCACAGCCACAGAGAAACGTAGACATCGTTGATTGATGATGATTGATCGATATGTGGGACTTAACGTCCCAAAAGCACCATATGATTATGAGAGACGCCGTAGTGGAGGGCTCCGGAAATTTTGACCACCTGTGGTTCTTTAACGTGCACCGAAATCTGAGCACATGGGCCTACATTTCCGCCTCCATCGGAAATGCAGCCGCCGCAGCCAGGATTCGATCCCGCGACCTGTGGGTCAGCAGCCGAGTACCTTAGCCACTAGACCACCGCGGCGGGGCACGTAGACATCGTGGGCACGGTCAACGCTTCCTAGAAGAACTATGCCTGGAACGTCGCTCTCTTTTCAATGAGAAGCCTCCTGCCAGCACGCAATCTCGGAGGCCATGCCTCCTGCCTTGTGTTGCGACTGGCCGCCGCATGAGGCCGCTCGCCTCCGTACTGCTCAGTCACGTGAAATTACCGTACCGCTCTTTCACGTGACATGACGGCTGCTCGGAGGCAACTGGGAGAGCATTGCTGTGGTCGCAGGGGGCGGCCGTCGGAGACGCTCGCCTTCGTACCGAAGGAGGAAAGTAAAATCAGAAGTTTGGGCAACGCGTTCGCGGCTCACGTTCCAGGCATAATTTTTGCAGGAGGCGTTGGCATGGCGTACTCAAATATATAAGAAACGAAGTGTCTCCGCACATGTGCTGTCCAGGCGGCGGCAACAGCCGTCGACTGCTATGCGGTGTAGAGTCCATCTGACACGCACCGACAGCGACCCATCTCGAGAGCGATTTTCTCAGTAATCGGAACCCTTTTCCAAGGAGGTAACTAAGACTTAACCCCGTATTCACAAAGGCTCCTCGACTCGACTTTCACCCTTCACTTGACATAGTTGAGCAAGTGTGCCACTGCTCGGCTGAAAATGACGCTGCGCTACTCAAGAATCGCAGCAGATTATCCCTGATATGCAGTGACTTGCCGTTCTTAAGATGGCGCTCCTATCGGCTTTTTCAAGTGAAGGTGAAGCGTTGAGTGAAGGGACGTTCTAGAATACGGGGATTAGGCCCGTATTCACGAACGCTCCTCGACTCGAACTCGACCTCAAGGGATCCTTGAGAACTGTTTCGCGTGGCGATTGCGGCAACGCGAAAAGTCTGAACGATCCCTTGAGCTCCAGTTAGGAGTCGAGGAGCGTTTGTGAATACGGACCTCAGTTGTGTATTCTCAGTCCTTCTTCGGCGCCAACCCGCCGTGACAAACACTTGCGCAGCACTCGTGCATACATCCGTTGTTAAGCGTGTCGGGCTTCTCGCGCACCGTTAACGTTAACCCGCGTCCATCCGTGCCCTGAACGCGGCTGAGCTCCCTGGCTGTCTGTGCACGGTATACACGCAGACAGTGTCGGGCGGGTCACTTCCTTCTCGGAAAGCCAGTGTTGCGTGTACGGGCTGCCGGGATCAGGAGTGCGAGCTCTGCATGGGTGCATGCGTGAATCAGTCTGAGAGAAACGCCTGCACGAAAGCGTGAGTGCGTAAAAGCGCGTGCGTCTTTAGAGTGAGAGGAAAGGGAGCTTACGTGGCGTTGTTTTTGTGAGAACAACGGATAACTGAACTCCTGACTTCTAAAGGACGGAAACGGTCACCGAACTTAAACGGAGTCAAAAGAGTTTTGTTTTACGGCTTTGGCAATTGTGCCGGGTGAAAAATCAAACAAATAAAAGAAGGACGTAGTTTCCCTGTCGTATTACGCATGCACGAGACGAGTAATCTGGGAACCAATGTACGAAGCTGTTGCTACGGTTGATTGCGTCGTAGGAACCCGTTTGCCGCCGGCCAGGGTCAAGTATATTTCTCACGGTTGAAACAGAATGTGGGAACGGGATGTCATTAGCGATGCAATTTGCTTCAACAAAATAGTAAGCAGATAAAAAGCATGGGCGTAACTAAGGAAACAAGCACTAACTTTCTCATGAAATTTATTATCGAAGAACGCGTAACAGTTAAAAAAAAAACGTGTAACAGTTAGGCTATAACCACCCAGAGCGACTTTGGTGAACTGCGAAAGAATTTGGCGATAGGTAAAAAAAAAGAAACAAAAAAAAAAAAAAAACGTCGGACGCATTACGCACCGTTTGAACGGGTTCTCATGGTTAAATATTTATGACGTAACACGCACGCACGCGAACACAAACACACACACTTTTCTGTTGTACATGTGGGTATGTCTAACGAGAAATTAACCCCCCGTATTCTAGAACGCCCCTTCGCTCAACGCTCCACCTTCACTTGAGAAAGCCAATGAAAGCGCCATCTCTAGGCAGGGCAAGTCACTGCATATCAGTGATAATTTGCTGCTATTGTTGAGTAGCGCAGCGTCATTTTCAGCCGAGCAGCGGCGCAGTGTGCAACTTTGTCAAGTGAAGGGTGAATTAAAGTCGAGTCGAGGAGCGTTTGTGAACATGGTGGTTAGCTCTCGAAAAATTTCTTTCCTTTCGTTAATATAAAGACACGCAAACGAAAAAGAACGTTTATGACAAACCCGGATTAAGTCGATTTGTGTCATCATGGCTGGCCGATAACTGGTCTTTCGGTTCGTGCCCACGTACTTCACGCCAGTGCGTTTGAACGGCGCTTGCGTATATAGGCAAGTTGTTTATCGACTTTCCGCTCGCCCAGTGTAGAGAAGCGAGCTAAAGCATATTCTATATTGCTTCGGCCGGCTTCTCGTGCCTTTCTGTAAATAAACCGGCCTCTGTCTTGAGTGCAACAATCTGGTTTACTATGGAACATGCAGCACGCCCTATAATATGCGTGTAACCACGCGTGTAACATAACGGTGCCATGCCTGGCTATATCAGATTTGCGATTACATTCCTCCCTATACCGTTACGATTTAAAGGGACACTTAAAGAGAAACGATGAAATGGTTTAGTTTGATAAACTGTAATTTGAGAAATCTAATGTAAGCTTCACTGTCATAAGTTTATTATTGGTGAAAAAAGTAAAGGTTCAAGTTTCATTTTCAAACTTCGCGTCGTAATCTCTGCACGTGACGAATTGATTGATTGATTTGTGGGGTTTAACGTCCCAAAACCACCATATGATTATGAGAGACGCCGTAGTGGAGGGCTCCGGAAATTTCGACCACCTGGGGTTCTTTAACGTGCGCCCAAATCTGACCACACGGGCCTACAACATTTCCACCTCCATCGGAAATGCAGCCGCCGTAGCCGGGATTCGAACCCGCGACCTGCGGGTCAGCAGCCGATGCACGTGACGAAAGAATTT